GCCTGCCACACAGCACAGGGCAGTGATGTCATCATTGGGCAGTAACAGAAGCAGATGAGGGAATAACTTCAAGAGTGGAAAAGCTAATCCTCTGTTTAAATTAGGCAAATTAGAAAACTCAAGACACTCAAAAATTTGTTTCTACTGAACACACACACACACACACACACACACACACACACACACACAAACTGTCTTGAGCAATGTGTTTGAAGGAAACAATCTCGCTCTGCAGGGCTAAGTTACCAGACGGAGTTGCCGTCACCATATCCAGAAAACCCCGGTGTGGTAGACATATCATGTATGATATTGGCTACCCAAACAGAGTTCTACCACAGGTAAATACACCTGTCAGGACAGCTGAATCCAGTTCTGAAAATCAGGACTTGTCTTAGAAAGAACATGATGCATTTGTCTACAAAAAAGGCTCCCACAGGAATGTATGTATTCATTCCATACAGCTTGGAATGAAGTCAGCCAGTGGAAACTCAGATCTGGAAAATTAAAGCCTTCCAAAAGTCACCACTGAGCAGACGAAACATCTTTAGCTCCTCGGACCCCTGTTTCACCTGCAGGCAAACGCTATGGACAGGGTGGGTCAACGTCTACCCCCACCCCCTACTTCTTGGGGTTCCTTAGCTGTAAAGGTGGAACAGAGGTTCTGCAGCAGGCACACCCCTGAAAGGTGTGTGAAGGAAGGGTGAGTGTGCCAAGGAGACCAGAGCAGGAAAGGAAAACAAAAACAAAACCCAAATGAAAACCTGGAAGCTTCAGGATAAACGGAGTTTCTCTGTCCATATCTGGGCAGGGCCAACTAATGCGATTTGTTGGCAGCTGCTACTGAGTGCTGTCACTGAAAGACGGAATGCCCTACAGATTCTAAATCAAAATCAAACACCCGTGAGTTGGTCTCTGGGTTTTAATAAGGTTGTTTCGTCCAAACGTTTATAATTTGGAACTCTGTACACAGACTGAAAGAACTTACCTAATGCACATCAAAGTGATGTTTAAGATTTTATTTTTTTAGTCCATGTCCAGCGGTGCCTTTATTAGAAAATAGGCAATAAAATACATTTATCTACTTATGTGCAAAATTATACAATTATTATTATTGAAAAATGTATCATTAATAAAACTTCAATGACGCTTAATGTACAAAACACTGACTGATTCTTTGCCAGTTAAGCAAAACCTCCATTACCGTCTGCATGTCTGAGTCTTCCTGAACAGTAGAAAAGTTAAGATAGATCTTTTTTTTAAATGAAAAAAAGGACTATAAACCAATAAAACAATGAGCTGACCCCAGGCCCCTGCACCACTGAGACTACCTTTGTGGTATTTGAACTTGTGGAACTGGAGGGAAGTGGCTGTCCCTATAGTCTCTGGGTCAGACAGCGGCTTCCCCTGGTACTCGATGGGTAGACCTCACAGGCTCAGTCAGTGGTTTCAAAGCCAAGATTCAAAATGGAACTTGCTAATGCAGGTTTTTATACAGATATTGCCTATTCCTGCAGTGCTTTAAAGAGCTTCGTGACTTGGCAAATGCCCCTCAATTAGAGCAGCAGTCCTCAGCCTTCCTAATACCGTGACCCTTTAATACAGGTCTTCAAGTGTGCTGATCCCAGCCATAACATTATTTCATTGCCATTTTATATTTTGCTACCGTTATGGGCCATAATGAAGATATCTGATATGAAGGATATCTGATATTGACCCATAAGTTGAGAACCTCTCATTGATCTAGTGGCTCCATTTTAACTCCACAGCAAGAAACTCTTCGAGGAGGCAGAAAATCCCATGGACACAGTTTGGGAATGGAAGAGGGTCTTGAGTCTCAGTATCCTCAAGACAAAGGATTGCTTATAACTAATTCATTCACACATAGACTGTCTCTTTCTAAAAGGGATTGCTAATAAATGACTCCAAAATGATAGGTCATCAACATTACAGCTCAAAGACCTTCTCCAACCTCCCTGTCACCAGAAATCTGGGACACAGATTCCTCCACTGAAGTGTATTTGTATATGTATGTGTACATGTATATGTATGTACACATATCTCTAGCCTTCTTTCGACTTTTTATCATGAGACATGGTTTCACTAAGTTGCCCAGCCTGGCCTTGATCTCACTGTACCTCAGACAGGCTGTAACTTGTGACTCTCTTACCTTAGTCTCCTGAGTAACTTCAAACTTTTTTAAGAGGCAGAATCAAGGGACTAGCTCAATGGTATTTTCTATTGCCACTATCTAAACTATCTTCCCACCTACTGTATCCTTCTCAGGAACCATCTAGAACAAAGAGAAGAGGATTTGTGCCTCTCAGTTCCTCTTGTAGGAACAGACAACTTCTGATCATACCACTGTCTTCCTTCCTTGTTTCAGCCATTTTATCACTTAGAATGAATTCTTTCAAAGTTACAGATAAAAGTTTTTACATGTTTATATATAGATTTTACAATTGGACGAATTAAAGAGAAAAATGATAGAGGTTTGAGTAATAATGGTACATTATCGTAGCTGGCAAAAGTAGGCATGAGGGGAGGGAGATGTTAGTGGCATTGTTAGCGGCCCATCCTGGATCTGACAGACACATTGCAATTTGAAAATGTCGAGAGGGAATTTGGTGTCATGGGCCCTGCAGTTAGAACCACTACGTTCAGATACAGGTTGGATTAATATGGGCAAGTTGCTCAACCAATTCATACCTGTGTTCTCATCTACGAAGTAGAAATGATAAGACTGTGGTGATACTTAGATGCCCTAGCGTGAACTTGAAAATACTAAAGAAGGCCAAGCATTAGTTATATTAACATTATTAATACTGTAACACAGTTTAGAAGAACGAGGCTTCTCAGGAGGCTGAGGAAGGGTGATCAGGAAGTCTAGGTAGTTTAGGACACGGAGTAAGAACTTGTTTAAAGGTGAGAGCAGCCAGGATAATGGAGTTCTACTCCCATCGAGCTAGAATGATGTCCCTGACACAGTGCTTTGCGGCAAGGCTACAGAATAACGCCGACTATGCGCCTGTCTGGGAAGAAGACAGACATGTTCAGAGGTATATAGAAACACATTTGGAAAATCACACATCCCCAACATTGAGTTGCTGGGGTCATGGGGTAGGGTGGGAGGAGCTGACTCATCCCTCAAGATCTTTGTGTGAGTTAATGTGCATGCGGTAGTATGTTTATAACTGGTTTTAAAAAGCTTTTATAGTGGCTTTTTCAGTCTTGGACTTGAACATCTCCCAAAGTCTAGCCTAGGATAAGACAGACCTCTCAGAGAGGAGGAAACAGGCTCAGGAGGGATGTGGGGGGTTGGAAGGGGCGGGTAGAGTCATCCAGCTTCCTGTTCCTAATTTTCACTGAAATTTTCTTTTCTTTCTTCATACTTTTGTGAAGTTTACCCTTCATGTGTCCAGGTAGTTCCCACGGTCAGTAGGGCTGTCTTCCCCCATCTCATAATCTCACCATCTCCCAGTGTATCTCCCAGATCCTCAGGTGGCATTGCTCCACCAAACTGCTGGCATCAAACCTCCATCGCTCGGGAGGCTGGCATGCACAAGTGCCTCCACGTATACAACTCTGGGATGCACCTCTCCAGGTGCTTTTGACCTTGCAAAGGGCCCAAATGGGCTTTTTAAAACTTCTTGTTCAGGCAAAGGACCGCTGGCATGAATTAGCAAGCACACTTTTCCCCCGTCTTTAGGTTTCCCCACCCAGGCTTCCTCACGGAGGTTACGGGCTGTTTTGTTCCTTGTTTCTTTCTCTTTCACGCTTGCCTGCGGTTATGTCACACACCCACCTACCCAATCCTCGCCCTCCTCTCTTCACATGCCAGTCATCAATCCCCATTTGCACACAAGCGCAGGGAGTCACGATCACAGCGATGATGCGACAGAAAAAAGAAGTCAAGATTTGAGGCAGAGAGCCCTGCAAGCCACCTACTTCCTGCACTGGAACCCGACTTGTAGGGAACCACGCCTGCTGGGGGATCCAGGCCACCAGAACCGGGTCAGCACCGAGGTGCCCAGGCAAAGGGAAAATTGATTGGTTCCCGGATGAACCAATCAGGGAGAGAAGTCGTGCATTGGTTGGGGATGGCCAAGATTATAGAGGGGGGTGTTAAGGGAAAGGGGACAGGTATGCCGAACACCAGGGCTCAGAGTCCTAGTCTCCTCTCCCTCGCGCTTCCTAGTCTGCCAGTCCCACAAAGCTAAATTGTAAAGAATAGGTAGAGGAAAACATTACTTATCCCACCATTCACAAGACGGTTATTAATAGTCAATGGAGAAGTGGCCATAGAGTAGGGGAAGAGTATTGAAACCTTTCCCCACTGTTCCTCACCCGGCTTTTTAAAATAGTAAATCACTCCGGAGCTCGTTTAATCGCAAAAGCTGATTACTAAAATGCTTTATTTGACGCCTGGAGTAAGTTTCTACCTCCCTAAGGACTGTGGGAAATGGTAGTGACATTTACTGGGTCGAGCAGCGTTCACTCCGTGCTCTTCAGCCCAAGGAGCTCGGGGAAGGACCTGGCCGAATGTACAGTCACGCGCACCAAGCAGACCGCCTCGGGGCACACATCTTAGGCGCCTCGACCTCACCGAACTCTTCGCATGGGGGCACAAAGATTATTTTTTTTTTGAGGGTGGACACAGAGGTCTTCCTACTACGTTACAACTTCAGCTGAGCTGTTTTGACCACTTTTCCCCTCCGAAGTGTCACAGACCCCTTATAATAAGACCAGTCCAACCTCAGCGTTCCCACGGTCCTGCGCCACTACCATCCGCTCTGGAACCCAGCGCCCAGCCCCAAGAGCCCATCCATACCCGGAGGTTTGGGGGAAGAAGGGGGAAGGGAAGTAGTCAGTGGAAGAGGCTCTCGCCGAGGCCTGGAGGCCACAGCCGGTGGAGAGCCCCGAAGCTCAGAAGCTGCGAGAGGGAGGGGTTGGAACCGTGCGTGGAAGGGCCGCGAGGAGAGAGGGGAGCGGGGTGCACTCACTCTGCATAGCCGGTGGCCCAGGGCAGCCGCCGGGTCTC